CTACCTGCAGCCAAAGAGAGAAGAGAACCAAGACCAAATAAAGAACATAAATGGACATGAGATTAGAAAGTGTGAAATTGTCTCACCAAAACCCAAGCAAAGACTACAAACATGGGGGGAGAGGCACATATTTGGCATCTTTTTCTACAATAAATCCAAGGTATTGATATTTTGGAGTGCCACTTCCCATCAAAAGGCCTAAATTTTTGGGGGCACAGGGCTACCCCACACCTCCTTTGAAGGAAAGTTCCCTGCAAGATTAGAGGTCTGAAGTAAAATGTTGTAGAAAAAAGAGCAATTGAAGAAACCAGATGGGGAAGGTTTCCAAATTCTGCTATCCTACAAGACTGATCATGTCCAAATCTTAGGAATGATCAAATCATCAACCATCCCAATTTCAAAATCCCTTAGACCTCTTCTCAAGCCCAAATCCTAGGAGTTATCAACAAACACTGAAGATATCACTTTTCTTTTGTTTTTAGACGAGTAAACAGAAGGAAATCTATCTCTAAGAGAGTTTTCACCAATCCAAACATATTCCCAAAACAAGACTTTATTTCTAGTGCAAACATCATATTCGAAATAAGGGAGCATAAGAGGCAAAATACCTTGAATAGCTTTCCAAGAACACCAAGAAACCCTAGGGTTGAGTCATGCATCCTAGCCGTTATCTACCGATCCATGAATACTAACAATCACTCTACACTAAACTCTCAATTGGATGCACATCACGATCCTATATAGAGTGAATTCTGCACCAACTTGAGCTATAATTTAATCTTAGGTATTTTCAGTTCTCCCATTAGTATGAATAGACACATAAAGTTAACAGCTCTTAGTGAATTTGAAGGACACTGATTTAGAAATTGACTGGGATCTCCTCTCCCCGTTGAGAGGTTAGAGGCATGAGGAGAGGAGATGTGTTGTGCTTCATTGTTTTGAGTAGATGCCTCCTGTATCTTCCATTTGGAATGGAGGCAATTAGGGGTGTCAACGGATCAGGTTTGGATTGGACCCGTCTTAATCAAAATCAATTTGAATGGGTTGGACAGTCCAATAAGATATATTGAATTGGGCTATTTCAGTCTTAATGATTTATTAGGTCATATTGGATTGAATTGGACCTGGTCCATCCATAACGGATGTACATTGTTGAAAAGACATTGAATTGGACCTAGAATGGTTTGAATCAATTAATATCTGATTTATTGACAGAAGATAAGACTTAGGGGTGTCAATTGACCATGTTTGGGTTGGACGCAATCTGAATTAAAATCAATTTTGAGCAAGTGTGATGGTCCAATAAGACATTGAATTAGACCTGATCCATCTGCAATGGACTCCTATTGAGTCATATTAAGTTGAACCAATATCTGATCTATGGACAACCCTAAAGACAATGTAATATATAGTTAAATTATGCAACATTAGGTTATGAACCATAGGATGCTTGAACTTTTTTTTTGCCTTTCTTGCAGGTCTCAATTGAGTATGGGTTGTCTGAAGTCCTATGTAGGGAGGCTATAAGACCTACTTTGGCCCCCAAAGATGAAAAATTTGTTTTTGACATTTCTAAGCTTGAAGGGATGTTTCCGGCTGGAACAGTGGACCGGTCTGTGGAGCGTGTATACCAAGAGGTGTATATTGCACTCTGTTCATTTTTGTTGCATGAATTTCTAGCATTCCGAAGGCCAGACACAAAATACCATACTAACATAAGAGATGTCCACGAGGAATTGTAGATGCCAAAGTGGGAGGAATCAGTGATGGCAGCAAGGGCCAGATACGAACGTGTTATTTGTGCACTTGCAGATAAATTTCCTCGTGAAAATTTGTTACTTGTCACACATGGTAAGCTTCATGTTCTAACTGTTTAGATTTTAGAATTTCAATCTTAATGTCATTGAATTTTTAGAAGAAAATTGTTAGAGAATGAGAACCTATCCAGGGACTTCACCGAACAACTTAAGCTTTTAAGTTGAACGTTCCTTAAAATGGTATTAAAGGCTGTTTGACCAAGTGATTTGGTGTTCGGTACTTGTCACCCCATTATAATCAATTAATTAAATTTCAGCACAACATATATATATGGGTTCAACTATGATATGGAAAAGATATGATATCCGAAAAACAACTGACCAATAAACTGGAATCATAAACATAATAGTAAATCAGGTGTTTTTGATTCGTCAAAACTATTTTTATATCATAGATTTTCCCAACTATATATCCCAAACTTTTCAACATTGGCATGATACCCTTTGGCAGGTAAAGAAACTGAATCCCRATTCCAAAATGACTCAAAACAGTAAAAAGAGGGGAGGGGGCGGGGGTCAAATCACTATTTTTTAATGGCACGTACTTGTCCACACTTTATTTAGACTTTCATGTGAGGGGACGCGGAAGAGACAAAAACCTATTTAGGGACTTCATCTAATAGCTTAAACTTTTGGGTTGAACGATTGCTTGAGAGAAATTATATTTGCTAGTTTGGGACTTTTATCATCACAAATAGATTCCAGTACAAGCTTTTTGAGCCTAAATGTAAATGCAGGTGAAGGAGTTGGAGTTTCAATTTCAGCATTCTTGAAGGACGCAACTGTGTATGAAGTAGAATATTGTGCATATGCACACACACAAAGACCAATCACCTTCAACACTAGCCAGACATTCACTGCAGGAAATTTTAAAGTTTGTACAAGGAACACTGATTCTGGAATATGCTATGGTCTATCAGGTTACTATTAACCTCATTTAATGATTCAATCCAAGCAAAACGATGGAGGCTTCTATCTGCTGCCCGGTCTTTGGGTGCTTCAGCTGATGAATGAGGTGGATTTCTTATGGCCACGGCCAAATAAGATCCAAGTTCCCTATCTATAACCATAACCATGATTTTATTTATTTCAATAATTTACTTGGAAAGTAGTGTCCTTTCCCATTGCTTATAGAGGAGCAGTGGGAGGGATGTGGTTCTTTTCTTGTGATGTATTAGTTACTGCTTCTTTGGTATTTGAAAGTAGATTTGCAATGGAAATTATACTCACTTCATGAGAGAAAGAGAGAGAACTGATCTTGACGATAAAAGATTCATAGCTAGTCTTTTTTTTTCACTAGATTCATAGCTAGTCTTACATATATATTAATGTTGGAATTACACAACGGAAATAACGTAAAGAAAGAAGGAAGAGAGAACACCAGATTTACGTGGTTCAGCCAAATTGCCTACATCCACGAGCAGTAGCTTGGAGCTTCCTTCTCACTATAAACAAGAGAAAACACAAAATGATCTCACCGGAATCACACCCGTACCCAGCACCCAATACACCCAACTCAATACTCCTCTCAACACACTGTATATACTATACACTAAAATGAAATGGAGAATGGAATGAGGAATAACATAGGAGGGACCCCTATTTATACTTGAGCTGAGGGGTATAATGGGCATTTATGAAAATTTTCTTCATGGCTAAGCGAACCATAATCGATGGTTTGCAAATGGTGTGCCACCGAATAAATGGTGGGCTCGGCTCGGTGGGCCACCGATTTCAAATTCGGTGAGCTACCGACTGCTGACCCACATTTTTGCTTTTCAACATTCTCCCACTTGAAGACAATTTTCATATTGAAAAACCCTCTCGAGAATAGCTGTCGATCATCTCTTGCTATGTGGCCTCAAGTCCCAAAGAAGTTCTGTACCAGATGAACTTCTCTCTCATCCCCGACTTTGTCAGCATATTAGCAACGTTGTTGTTAGTGTGGATCTTCTGTAATGAGATCTGCCCATCTTTAACTACCTCATGAACAAAGTGGTACTGTACATCAATGTGTTTAGTTCGTGCATGAAAGACAGGATTTCTTGCTAAGTGTAATGCGCTTTGACTGTCACAATGAATAGTCACCACTTCTTGCTTGATGTGGAATTCTTCAAGCAACCTCTTTAGCCAAATACTTTCTGCCAAAATTTGTATTTGCTGTTCCGATATTGCACGTGTTGAATATGGTGAGTTCGAGCTCTACACGGTTCGACATACCGAAATTCAACGGATCCAACTATGCAATCTGGAAGCTAAAAATGCATGTTGTGTTGGTGAAAGAAGATTGTGCAATTGCCTTAGAAAGAAAAGAGAAGAAGCCTGCTGATATGAAAGACGAAGATTTTGAGAAGAAAAACTAGATAGCCATGGTTGATATTCTTCTTGCTTTAGAAGATTCGGTTCTATTAAACGTATCCGATGAAACCACTACCAAAGGTTTATGGGACAAGTTGTAGAATCTCTATAAGGGGAAATCGATGTCCAATAATTGGTATGGAGAAAATATTTCGTTGAAGTCGATACCTGATTTATGAGCATATCCTTTTACAACTAGTTGAGCTTTGTATCTTTCGATATTCCCGCTAGTGTCCTTTTTGAGTTTGTACACCCATCTACAACCAATGGCCTTTCGATCCTTAGGTAGTTTAACTAACTCCCAAGTTTTGTTTTTCTTCAGAGCTTCCATTTCTTCCTCCATAGCCATTTGCCAATGACGAGCATTTGGACATTTGCATGCTTCCTGGTATGAACAAGGCTCGTACTCTTCTATAATGCAAGCATAAGCTGTTACATAATCCTAAAGCCAGATAGGAGATCTTGTAGCTCTCCTCGATCGACCTTGATCACCATGAGTCTCTCCTTCAAAATTTTCAACATGCACTTCAGGTACATCAATAGTTGTATCAATTTGTTGCTCTTGAATCTTTTGAAAAGATTCCACTTCAACTTTCTCTATTGTCTTAGATCTTGATTCTTTCTACATCGAATCTTCATTGAAGACAACATCTTGGTTAACAACTATCTTGTGGGTAGTAGGATCCCACAACCTGTATCCCTTTGTACCTTCTGCATAGCCAAGAAAAATACACTTTTTGGTCCTTGCCTCTAGCTTGGTCCTCTGCTCCTTATGAATTCAAACATAAGCATCACAACCAAAGGTACATAGGAAAGAATAATCAACAGGGTTTCCTGACCATACCTCTTTTGGAATTTTGGAATCAAGTGCCATAGTGGGAGAGCGATTTACTAGGTAACATGCCGTATTGACTGCTTCTGCACAAAAGTGTTGCTCCAGCCCAACTGCACTCAACATGCTTCTAGCTCGATCCATAAGTGTATGGTTCATCCATTCAGCAACTCCGTTTTGTTGTGGAGTTCGAGGAACCATATACTGTCTCGAAATGCCGTGCTCACTGCAAAAAATCTTTAAATTCTTTCGAGGTATATTCTTTTCCATTATCAGTTCTCAGACACTTAATTCTTTTCCCTTTYTGATTTTCAACTAGAGCTTTGAACTTCTTGAAATAGGAAAAAGTATCACTCTTCCGTTGGATCATATATACCCATACTTTCCTGGACAAATCATCAATAAAAGAGACAAAGTTTAGTGAACCTCCAAGAGATTCCGTAGTAGATTCCCATGTATCAGAGTGTATTAGATCTAATACCTCTCTACTCCTAGCTTTAGACTTGGGAAAACTAGCTCTGTGGTGTTTCCCAAATAAACAATCTTTACAGAAATTCAAATCAGTAGATTTTAAACCAGGAAGTAGATTTTGATCAAGAAGTACCTTAAGTCTTTGCTTGCTCATATGACCCAACGTCTATGCCACATCATGACGAAATTGGTCACAACATTTGCAACAATGGCATCGCCAACCATGGTATCCCCGATCAAGTGGTATAGCTTCCCTAGTAATTTGCCTTTTGGAATTACCATAGCTCCTTTATTGATCTTCAATTGGCCTTTTTCTCCAGAAAACTTGTAGCCGTCTTTATCAAACTTTCCTAGTGACAGGAGACTCTTTCGTAGTTCAGGAACATACTGTACACCAGAGATTGTACGAGTGATGCCATCAAACATAGTAATTCTAACGTCTCCAACCCCCACTATTTTGCATGTGATGTTATCACTCATGTAAACAGTCCCACCATCGCACGATTGGTATGTGTAGAACCAATCTCTATACGACGTCATATGGAAAGAAGCACCAGAATCTAATATCCAGTTATGGTTTAAATTTTCATAAGAATCAACAGACAGTACCACACCATCTTCTGATGAATCACTTCCTACTGCGATGTTTCCTTAGGAATTATTTGAAGCTAGATCTTTGTCAGAGTTGGGCCGATTTTTCTCTGCTTTGGGTTGCTGACAATCTTTTCGAAGGTGCCCCATCTTACCACAGTTCCAACACTTGAGTCCTTTCTTGTTGCCTCTTGACTTGGATCTCGTTTGAATTCTAGTAGAGTCGTTTCTCTCATTCGATCTACCTCGTACCATCATTGCGCCACCTGAAGAATTCTCACCAGCTTTTCTATGAGATTCTTCCATAAACAACATAAAAATAGTAGATTCAAATGACAGATCTTTAGTATTGCTCAAATTCATTATCAAACTATCCCAAGAGTCTGGCATAAAGCAAAGCAAAAGTGCAACCTTTTCTTAGTCATCAATACGTACCTCTACAGTTGCTAATTTGCTTACTAGAGTGTTGAAATCATTCAAGTGTACTTGCAGAGAGGCTCCGCCCTTCATCCTAAGATTGTAAAGTTGTCGCCGGAGAAAGATTTTGTTGGACATTGATTTCCCCTCGTAGAGATTCCGCAACTTGTCCCATAAATCTTTGGTAGTGGTTTCCTCAGACACGTTGAATAGAACAAAGTCTTCTAAAGCAAGAAGGTTATCAGCCATGGCTATCTAGTTTTTCTTCTCAAAATCATCGTCTTCCATATCAACAAACTTCTTCTATTTTCCTTCTAAGGAAATTGCACAATCTTCTTTCACCAACACAACATGCATCTTCAGCTTCCAGATTGCATAGTTGGGTCCGTTGAATTTCGGTATGTCGAACCGGGTAGAGCTCGAACTCGCCATATTCAACACGTGCAATACTGGAATAGCAAATACAAATTTTGGCAGAATCCCGGAATAGAACTGTGTGGCTCTGATACCAATTGTTGGAATTGCATAGTGGAAATAACATAATCTGTATGTGCACAGAAATAGACAAAAGCATATAGCAATAAAGAAATAAAGAAGAGAGAACACCAGATTTACGTGGTTCAGCCAAATTGCCTATATTCACGGGCAGCAGATCGGAGCTTCCTTCTCACTATAAACAGAAGAAAATACAAAATGACCTCACCGGAATCACACCCGTACACAACACTCAATACACCCAACTCAATACTCCTCTCAACACACTGTATATACTATACACTAAAATGAAATGGAGAATGAAATGAGGAATAACATAGGAGGGACCCCTATTCATATACTTGAGCTGAGGGGTATAATGGGCATTTATGACAATTTTCTTCATGGCTAAGCGAACCATAATCGGTGGTTTGCAAATGGTGTGCCACCGATTAATTGGTGTGCCACCGAATAAATGGTGGGCTCAGCTCGGTGGGCCACTAATTACAAATTCGGTGAGCCACCGACTGGCCCACCTTTTTGCTTTTCAACAATTAAATCAAGCCCACCTTATATATAGAAAGGTAGTGACATTATAGGTAGGTAATTTATCAAATTGATCACGAGGGGTTGGTAGGTTCATGGGGGTTTTGGCTGTTTTTCTTGTTATTTTTCCTGTTTGCATTTGTGTTTATGCTGTTTTGATTGTGCATGTGTGTGTCTTTTCTATTGGCCGGGAGTCCTGATTTTCTACTCACGACTACTCTACCCACACCCACCACATAACATCGAAGCCACAAATCTCATCCTTTTACAAGTTATTATGTATGGGGAGATGTTCCCAATGTATAGAGGATGTCAATTGGCAGGATTCGTGGATGGATAATTCCAATCATTCTCATCATTTCGTGATTTATGGGGTGTTTGACAACATGATTGATTTTGTTTTGAAAATAAAAGACAATTGCCACATCACTAAAGTCATATTGGTTTTATTGACATGACAATTGTTTTTGTTTTCAAAAACAAAACCGACAATGGTTGACAAATAGTGGGGCAAATTTGACATTTTCTTGTTGATATCAATTGTTAGGGGTGATG